AGAAAGCTCAGTTTCCCTCTTCAGTAGCTGCTCAGCCAAAACTACTAGTGTCCCTGCTTTTCCTGTTGTTCAGGTTTGCCCCTGGGTAACCTCTGAGTAGCGCTACTTAGACTATACCAATTTCTTTGTGATGTGTTCTGGGGATTCACTGTAAGCACAAAGCACATCACAATATTTTTCTCACCCCTTCTCCCTTCTATTCACATCTCTCCTTCCATTTTTGATTCCCTGTCCATTTCAGCAAAATCCATGTCCCTATAGCCTATTACCTATCTTTTATTTTTCTCTTTATTTACAGTTTTGTTTTTTCATCTTACAGGAAACAATGATTTAAGCTTGTGTCTTATTTATTTCATTTAATATCATGGTCTCTAGGTGCATTTATTTTCCTATAAATGACTCAAATTTGTTCTTCTTTACAGCAAAGTAGTATTCAATAGTGTAAAATATCACACTTGTCCTTCCATTCATCTTTTGATATATACATGAATATCAGTTTTTTAAACATCTCAGTAATAAAACAAAAGGCATTCCATCACTTCACTCCAAAGTTAGACAAATAAATGAAAGTATGCATCTATCTATCTGCACATATACATGGGCAAAAACTCACAATATATTATCAGTAATATGGAAAAACTATTTAATTCATTATTGGTCAACAAAGTACTCTTTTAAAAAGATCAAACACGTACCTTATATTTGATAATAGCTCCTTCTCCACTGTTTTCTTACCAAGTAGAAAACCACTCTTCATTTTTACTCGATAGGAGATGTTATGAAAACTTAAGATGGTCCCTTTGGTGCATGACTTCGGGTCACTGGAGGTCATCTCCGAGAGACCCTTGATGTTGCCTTGTGACACTGGGATATGAAACTGGTCGTTACTTGAGGACATCTGGAGAGTTGTCCTTTGCTTTAGAAGGAAAAGCAACAGTTAGATGAGAGTCCCACTAAATCTGATTGTAAACACCAGGTAGTATATTTAAATCAATGTGTTACAAATGCACTACAATAAGTGAAATCCTTACCAATAAACAGCCCACAGAACTACTTTAATACCTAAAATAGAAGGCAGATGTATCTTTAAATACATAGAGTCCTATTATCATATTCCTAAGACAAAATTGACCCTAATAATTAATATAAGTGTTATCCAAAATTTATGGATGAAAAAGATTGCTAAGCATTAGACTAATCTGACTTGAAAAGTATATTATGAGACAGCTTATATTCAGAGAAAGACTATGTGATCATCATCATACTTCCTGCATTTTATTTTAATTTGGGAGTTTATGACATTGCTGGTACCAAAATAGATTTAGGGAGTCATTCGGGAACAGCAGCAATTTCTCTGAAATTCTACATCCTACCATATACCTGTGGGTATTATAGCCCTCCAATCAGCTAAGACTGTAAACTCCAAAACAGTTTTGAAGGACACAATCATTTCCTTAATAAGCAAATATATTTAATTTCTTAAAAACATATGAAATTAAGACCAAGATGATCAGGAGAATCAAGGCAATAAAGATCATGAGATTTTGAAGCACAACTGAATACTATTTATAAAAAGTTTTCAGTGTTTCATGAAACAAGTTACAAAAGCACCTTTAAAGAAAATTATTCACACCAAACATTAGATGAACTGGGCTAGTGAAATAGGTTTGAACTGTGACCTGTGATAAATGAGTTCTCATTTTCAAAAGCCAAAGTTGTCCATGCAGTACTTTCTCTCTACCAGCGTATGTTTAATCAGCAGCTTCAATCAAATCATGCTATAATTGTTGATGCACTGTGTCAAATTGAGAAATTTAGGAGCTTAACTAAATGACTCCGCAGGGCCTCACAGTCCTCACTTGGTAAATACCCGAGCTTGTGCAAGAGGAGGGCATGGAGATGGTGTGAGTGCTACACCTACCCTAGTTGGTGGCAGCCTGTTTACAATATAAGGAAGGAAAACAGCTTCCTCTCCTCCAGTTTTGCTCTTGTTGCTTTTCCTGTCTTCTGCAGCCTTGAACTGTTGCCCTGTGCCAGGCTACCCTGCCTTGGGGCCAGTCACCTATGGACTGAAATCTCCACACACTGTGAAATAAATAAACCTTCCCTCCTTTAACTTTCAGTGTGGAATACTTTGTTCCAGCAGCAAGAGAAAAGTAACAAAGATACATGCTCACAAGAACCATCCCTGAGAAGCAGACGAAGCATGAGAAGCCACTGTGGGAAGAGCTCTCCAATGAGAGAAACCAAAGCTTCCAGAACTCTAATATCCAAACTCCTGGAAAGAAAGGACCAACCCTGAGCCCAGCTCTGCACCTTGTGCTTTCCCCTCCTGACATTTGCACAGGCAAACAGTGCCTGCCTGGGGACTATGTCAGGAAAACTAAGCAGAAAGATGCTAGCAGGGACCTCCTGGATGCTGTAAAATATCTGAGCAAATAATTCAGCCACCTTTCAGATAGGAAACCTGGACTTAGAGCCCTACCAAAGACTAAGAGCCCTGGGAATGCAAAGCTTTTGAGATCTGAAAGACTATGCCCTGGGAACATGGACAGACTGAAAACAGACCAGCTCTGCTTCCTCACAGTGATCTGTTCAGTCTTTGCTAAAGGAAGTTAATCCACTCTCAAGACACTGTCATCCCCATTTTCAGGTGAATTTGCCATACATACCAGAAACCTTGTCTTGTTTCAAACCTTGTCTCGAAGAAACAAACCAAACAAGGACTTTTTTAAGTGATTGAAATTATGATCTTGGTAAACAAATTCAGAAAAATTAATAATTCCATTAATAAAATAACAACATGAAAGAGTATAAGGAAGAAAAGGACAGGAAGTAATGGGTCTGGCATATTTGCAGCTGGAGGCCAGAGAGAGGAGGACAAATAGGACAGAATTACCATTTAATCAAATGCTGGCCACATGTTTTCCAAAACGGATGCAAGTATGAAGTCACAGATTAATGAAACTCTGTAAATATGAACTTGGAAAATCCAAGGGAACCACTTGTGAGCACAGTATAACTGAACTGCTGAAAAACAAAGTCATCTCTGAGTAATTGCTTCTATACCACAATAGTTATCGTTTCAAACACTCCACTCACTTTGGAAACTGGACATATAGGAAATCATTTAAGTCTGGTACCTAGGAAATTAAAAGTACATAGCTGAATTTTCATGTGCATCACTGTGAATGGTAAAAACCACCCAACATTCCATTTGCAGAAGCAGGTAAAGAGAAGGCACAAGCACTGCAGGAAGCTCACTTCTTTGCATTAAAAGCCTGTGAGCCATCTGCCCGTGTCTTCAGAAACCAAATACAGATTTTCTACATTTAACAACCTTCCCTTTTAACAGGTCTTTGGATTTACGTTCTGCCATTTAGACTTACGACAATTTTTTTCTTGTTTGGACAGCTCTACACCTCATATTTATGGGGCCTACATGTCTTTTTTGTACACTGCATCTTGTTTCTACAGTAGCATAATTTTTACTCTTCATATCATAGAGTTTTACATTCTGTTATACATTATAGTACTGCATATGAGTTATGCAATAATATCAAAGTTAGCTGAAGTTACCTCTGTCATTTCTTTGTTCTGAATATTGTAGTGTACATACAGTGATTCTTCACCTATTGTGGGAGTTACATTCCAGAGATCCCCATGATAGCTGAAAATCCACAAAGTAGCAGCTTTATATTTATTTCATTATTTATATACATTTTAAGGCTTTATAAAGCCTTCCCACACTCCTGCACACCTTTCCCACCCTCTTACTAACCTTTCCAACACTCTTATAAACACTACATATGCTCTTAAACACTTTCCACACTCTTAAACCTATGTAATTTTAACAAAATTGTAGGGCTTGAAATAAATTTAAACTTTTACGAAAATTTCACACAACTACAAAACCACAGAACAACACTACACACAGTGATCAGACATTGATGTGAAGTGAAGAAGGAGAGATGTTGAATGTATGGGCACAATGCAGGAGAGCAAACAGACCAGAGCTACACCACTGAGCCAATCAGTGCCCTGGATACAGAATAAAGTGCTGTGGTTGGTCACCTCCCATTACATCAGCCAATAGTGTGCCATGTACAATCTCATGTTGGCAAACTTGCACAAGCTGTAGTGGCATACTGCATCTCTACTGTGTACAGTACGGTATCCATTCACTGATGAAATACATACTATATTTTATTTCTATTTCATATTTTAATATGTTCAAATTAACATTTTTATATTGTTTTAAAATTTTTAGGCAAAAATAATTAAAATCATAAATATTATATAAATACCTATATACCACAAAATCCCGTGATAGAGCAAAAACTCTGCAATATAGAATTAGATATATTTTTTTAAAAAAAAAACCTGCAATAGAGTGAAGCTGCAATAACTGAACCATGATATAGCAAGGGACAACAGTGCTATATACAACTCCTCACTTAAGACCAATTCATCTAACAACCCAGTGGCAGGAACAGAACTCAGTCATTAAATGAGGATTGATGGTAGAGCCTCTTCCAGCCGCACTCACCACCTCTCCTGCTGTCATGCCTGTGTGATGTTCAGGCCCAAAGGATATCTCTGCCATCTTCTAAGACTTATTAAGAGAATCTGCAGATGTACTGCTTTACTTTAAATCGGTCATTGACTCAAGACAGAACTGAGAATTTTGTGAAGTTCCCTACAAATGAAAGGTAACAAATGGAACTGAAGTACACAAGAAAATTCACCCTCGCCTACCCAAGACAGGGGGCTAGAACTTCTACACACAGCAATAGTTTTACAGTGGTGTGTACACAGTTGACCTTTCTGTGAGTGGATTGAGCTTGGAATTGAAATTGCTGAGGATGTCAGTTTCCTCCCTAGGGTTCAATCATCTCCCTCAGAGGGATGCAGAGCCTTAGCAATTCATCAGCCATGACCAAGTCATCAGACAGATCTAACCAGCGCAGCATATTGCTAAAGAATAGGAAGGAAAGAAGAAAGGAGGAAGGAAGGAAAAATTCACACATGAAAACAAACTTTGTTTCAAATACTAACGTAGAACAATGCATTTCCCCAACATGAAACAAAAACTGCAGTAAGGATTTTTAAAATGAAGAAAATATATGTCACCATTGTATATCCTAGCGTACCCAATGACTGTTAACACAGTACACTGCCTAAGTGACTCTTAGAAAGTAGTGTCTTTCAGTGAAAAGTAGACATTCCATGTGGTAGCAGCTGTTTAGACACTGGTAGTGCTCTGGCAGGATTAGCAGCATGTGCTTAAATAAAGAAAGACTCAAACCACATTTAGATTTCTCTGTGACAAAATCTGCCTCCTACCTCCTTGTTGTTTCTGTTTCCAGAGTTCCGCTAATCCTAACTGCCTTGCGCTCACTCTGGGTCCTAAATCCACTGCACGGACTGCAAGTTCACAGACAACAGATGCCAAGGACTTCACAGCCAAATGCACCCAGGCTGCTCATGATTTCTGGGCTAATTATAAATCTGGTGAACTTGAGAAGTTCTTCTAAAGATCCTAGAGCTTCTTTTGCTCTACTCAGCTGTGCTATTTCTGGAGCCCTACTTATATCACCCTCTTTTGTCTTTTTGTATTTAACCAGAGGCCAGATGTTTACCTTTTGAAAAGAGATGTTTCACTA